TATATATTAAAACTTTATATTCTTATATATATTTGTACATATTATAAATATTATATAAAACTTTAAGAGACTGACAGGAAACATACCAAAATATACAGGGTGATAACGATGGGAGTGTGTGTTTTTTTGATTCACTGATTCCCTAAAACTTTCTATATTGAATATTTTTTAAAAACAGCTTTAAGATATGAATGATGCACATGCCATGTGATCCATCCATCCATTTAAAGAAGACAATCCTAATGGCTTTCAGTTGTGCATCCATCACCTGGGATCCCACAGCCTGTGGTCTTCTGTGAGTGGCTTTTCATTTAGCATCAAGTTGTCAAGGTTTAGCCCCGAGGCAGCATGAGCCAGCGCTTCATTCCTTTTGATGACGGAACAATATTCCATTGTGTGTATCTATACCTCACATTTTACTTATTCATCAGCTGATAGACATTAAGTCGCTTCTATTTTTGCCTGTTATGAACAATGCTGCCATGAATTTTCATGCACAAGTTTTGTGTGAACATGTTCTCGTGTCTGTTGGGTAGACACCCAGGAGTGGGATTGCCGGGTCACATGGTAGCGTTTTGTTTAACATTTGGAGGAACCGCCAAAGTATTTTCCAACCCCACCAGCAGTGTATGAGGGTTCCAATTTCCCTGCGACATTGAATATATTACCTTTATAACCACCACTTTAAAGTGGTATAACAACCCTCTCAAGTACCTTCAACAGCTCCCTAATGATTAGCTAGAAAGGTTCCAAATCCCACAGCGTGCCCTCCCAACAGCTATCCTACCGTTCGTGCTGTCGCCAGGGACACCTCTCACCCACCTCTGGGGGCAGGACCTGTTCCTACCCCCACACCGATGTTCAAGCTGTGCCCCCTCTTCTATCTGCCCATCTTCAGAGGGGCAAGGGGGGTAGGCCTGCCCTCCAAGGTGTCACGAGGGTGGGGCTCCTTACCAACCACAGAGAGCAGCAGCAGGACGCTGCAGATGACGATGGACACGATGATGGCGGTCTCACTGCCGCCCAGCTGTAGCGTGGCAATGGTCTGGTTGAAGTTTCCTACCTGGACCTGCACAAAGACAGGGGAGGGGGTTGTAGCTTCCCTGGACTTGTGCCTCGGCTCTTCTCCTAACTAGCTATGTGGCCTGGGGCAAGTCGCCTGACAGAGATAACCACACCCACCTCCAGGGGATGCTTGAGGACTAAATGAGAGAATGCTTGTCATGCTTTTAGTCCTCGGCCTGCCACAGAGGAGAAACTCAGTAGGGTTTTTATTAAGCCTGGGAGGCCTGGCAGAGGAGCAAGGCTGTTCAGAGGGCGTGGCTGCTGTCCCCAGGTATCTGTAGGGTTGTCCTGGGAACAGGAGGCGTCTGAGGACTCCAGGGCAGAATTGGGACTGAGAAGCAGACGAAAGGGAGCTTTCCCAGTCAGAGCTGTAAGGAAATGAGCTCCCCAGCCCAGGAGGCATGCAAGCAGGTGCAGTGCAGAAAAGATCCCGCTTTCTGGGCCCTCGCTCTACTCCTCTTGCTTCCCTGCCCTCCATGATCCTGTGTGATGACCGGCAGCCCAGACTCTGGGGAGGGCACCTAGAACAGGGGCAATTTCTTACGGCCTTTCAGAGTCCAGCACCATCAGGCCTATCACTGACCTTGAGCAGGTCCCTCAGTTCTTGGCCCTGTTTCCTCATCTGTCAAGTGGGGACGCAGAGCTCTGCTTTGCTCTGCCTGCTCAGTTCCAAGGTGCTGAGCCAGGGACAGGCACCTGGGCAGATGGGGCTGGGAGCCATGTCCGCCTCTGCCTCCAGTGCCCCATCCACTCACCGTGATGGGCAGCTGCCCCTCGGCTGTGCCCAGGGACTCGTTGACCGAGCAGTGGATGACTCTCTCCGAGACGATCTGGATGTCGCAGGCCACTTGGCCGATCTTGACCCGGTACTCATGGCTCTCCAGCCCCAGGCTGTCCTGCTCTTTCTGTGGGAGAGGAGGGGCTTGCTCACCTAGGTCCATGGCCGAGCCCAGCCCATTCGCTGCCCCCGCCCGGCACCCGCTGCACTCACATGGATGACTAGGGTGAGGGGCTCCCCAGGGTGGTGTTTGATCCACTTCTCCCTCTTGGCCGTGGAGAACTGAGGGTCAGGGAGGTAGTCCAGGCGGAACCTGCTGCCCCGCTGGGCCTCCTCGGAGTCCAGCAGCTCCTCGGCCACTGCCACCTCGTCGGTGTAGGCCCGCCCGTTGATGAAGAAATCCACTGGTGCCGATGCGTTGCTCAGGGCCCCCGGGGAAGGGCAGGTGATGAGGGTGGAATTGAGAACCTTGCAGAGCTGGTGGGAGAGGGCATGGACCAAGGTTGGGGTGGGGGATGAGCAAATAGACATGAAGAAATGGGGAGAGTTTGAGGTTTAGGAGGACAAAAAAGCAGAGGAGGGCGGAGAGAGATGGGGAGACAGGAGAGAGACAGATGGAGAGATGCAGCAGAAAGAGGGCTGCCAGCCACCCCCACCACCTCAGTCCCCTGCCCCGCTCACTGTGGGCTGTCGGCCGATGTGGTGCACAGCCATGGACACGTTCTGCACCATATGGAAACGCTCACCAGCCACTGTGATGGTCCTGCCACCGCTGCGGGGACAGCAAGCCCATCAGCCCACCTGCAGCCCAGGAGAGCTAGACCCACCTGGGGGGTCAGGATCAGGGTCAGGTCTCACCTGACGGGGCTGCGGCGGGGACTGATGGCTATGATGACCGGGTTCCGCATGTACCAGAAGGTGAGGTTCCCACGCACACAACCTCGGTGCTCGAAGCGCACACACACGGGCACAGGGGCTGGCAGGGTGCCCCCAGGCACTGTGCAGGCGATGCTAGTTTCTGTGCGCCTGTGGGAGGGCAGCGAGCTCTGTCAGCAGGGCCCCCACCTCCCATTGCTTGCCCCTACCCAACACCCCCTGCCCCACTGACCAGGGGCACAGGCCTTTCAATGGCCCCAATCTGCTCTTCTGCCTTTTGTACATAAGTCTGTTTCTATATTCCCATTGCCATACGTTGCCTGGGCTGTCCTCTCCACCTAGAATATCTTCCCGTCTCTCTGACCCTGCCTGTACTTCCTAGTTGCCCAGTCCCACCTCCTCCAAGAAGCCTTCCCAGAGCTCCTCTCCCAACTCCTGCCCCTGGCAAGGGCCCTGTCCCATGGCTCTGAAAGCCCAGACTTTTCTCCCAATCCAACCCCACTGGACATTTCTGTTTCCTGTGGGAGCGTCTGCTTTTCCCTGAGGGCTGAGACTGTGTTGGGCTCATCTATTTGTCCCCATCAATGAAGCCTGGTACACATTAAGTGCGTAATAAAGACAGCTATCTCACCAAGAGCTAAGGATTTCAGAGTGTATGCAATTACCACCATTTTACTGCAGCTGTCACTTATGAAGCACCTACTGTATGCTGGACACACCGTACTTCCCATAACTCCCTGTTCTTACCAGATGAGGAAGCTGAGGCTCAGAGGGGAAAGGGCTTGGCCAAGGGGTGATGCTTGATCCCAGGGTAGCACCCCCACCCCTCCGGCCCCCCAGCCCCATGGTTTCTATGGGCCGGAGGGGGCAGCTGGGGCCAAGGGACTTACATGAGCTCCCGTGGATGGTAATCCGGGTGCCCCCCGCCTTGGGGCCCATGGCAGGCTCCAGGGAGTGGACCAGGGGCAGCTGTGGGGTGGGAGGCAGGTGTTCAGGCCTAGCGGCCTCCCTTACCACATAGGAGAAGCGCTCCCGTGACTTGCCCTCCTTGGAGACGTTCACTGTCACCACATCTGAGAACGCCCCTGGGGCTGGCCCTGTGACACACACAATCCTGGGGGAGGCAGCTGTGGTCAGGAGAGCAGCTAGCGGGTCATGGGGGCCTATCAGGCATTCTCCCTTGAACAATGTCCGCAATTGCACCCCAGGATGTGTGCGCTCCCCATCCTTGCACTAAACCACCTGTGCCTCCCACTCACAGCTGGGACTGGCATTCAACTGGGACACGCCTGAGGGCATTACCCCCCGAGTTCCCTATCAGTTGGAAAACAACCACTGAGCCCCCCAAATGTCATCCTGGCTCTTCCCAGGGAC